TCTTATTGTTATAATTAATATTGACAATTTAATTCTAAAAACATGGATTGTGTTGCATATAACTCACAGAAAATAATTCCAAATAAATTAGAAAGGATCATTTTGTTTTAATAAAACATCATGGCCCTGGGAAAATATCTTTTTTTCTAATGTGGCAGTCAATATGTTAAATAGCCTCCTTACATTAATCCAGCTGTTTTCACAGAAACTCTATAATAAATGAGATTACTTTTTTTTTCCATTCCACTGTCTAATTATAGAATGTGACAACTTTTAAAAACTACAATATCAGTAAAGATCATATCAAACAAGAAAATTAACTAAATGCCTTTCGATAAAGGTTTATTGCCCTATATATTATGGCTTTTAAAATAACAGTTCTTAGTCTTAATATAATGAAACATCAGTAAAACTAATATTATCTTCTTAGTGCCTGGCTCTCTGGCTATGAAAACCCTGTGGTGTCTCGAATTAATATGAGAATACAAGATCTAACTGGACTAGATGTTTCCACAGCAGAGGAATTACAGGTAGGTAATCACATTATCCTTAACTTTCCACTTCAAGAGATGCTTCAGATGAGATTTCCTGACACTGAACATGCAGTCCTTGATGTGCATGGTAGTTGACACTGTAAAAAGTGACCCTGTAAGCTGAAACCATGGAAAGTGATTATAATAATTAGTAGGAAAAATTATGATTATTCTGTGACCTTTAAATTTTTTGTCAAAACATGAAAAACTCTTGAGTATAAACATACAGAGAAATGAAAAAATCTGCAGCTCTAACATTTATGAAGTACACTATATTTTCCTTCCCCTAGGCTTCAGTCTACCCATCATGTGGCCAGAGTGGATTTTTTTCTTTTCATTTTCTTAACAGTTTTTCCTTTATTTGTAATAATGAATCAAAGGACTACTTTTTTTCATTATTTCTCTTTTTCTACTGCTATGTCTATAAATTATTTGTCATAAAAAGCAGCTGCCCCATGTAATTATTTTCCACTCCATCATAATCACAACTTGGCTCAAAATATCTTTAGTAAAGAGGCAAATATAGTAATGTTAGTTATAAGGAATAAACATAAAATCAACATGTAATAATCTCATTTATTTTCAATAGTAGAAAAATAAGCATAGGCCCATAAACCAGAGAAAAGAAATAGCTTAGTCTTCAAGCTATGTCAAACATTGCTTACTATTTCTCAGTCTTTTCCTATAGAGAAATACTTTTAAAAATATTTCTGAGTCCTATTTTTGTATTAGATTTTTTTAAATTATCAAAATGTGCACTAAAAAAACCCAGTGCCTTCATCCAGTCTTTCTGATTGCAAAATTCTAACACAAATGCAGTGAATATGCAGCTCATAAATTAATAAGATAATTAGAAGGTGATACACTTTTGCTTCTTTTCAACTTTAAATAATATACTCTAAATTTATCAAAAGACCAAAATGTATTGTTATTTAATGCTAGTTAATTCCCTTTTTCTGGGTAAGTTTTTTGTTTTGTTTTAGTTTTTGTTGTTTGTGTGCATGTGTTTTACAGTGATAATAGTCTGATGCCATCCTACTCCATCTTTGTCAGAATACATGGTCTTCTCCTTTGTTTTTATTGATACATAATAATTATACATATTTATGAGGTACATGTGATATTTTGATATATGCCTACAATGTGTAATAATCAAATCAGAGTAATTAAAGATATCCATCACCTCAAACATTTATCATTTCCTTCTGATTGGACATTCTAAATCTTCTAGTTATTTTGAAATATACAATAAATTGTTATTAACTACAGTCACCCTACTATGCTATAGAACACTAGGGCTCATTTCTTCAATCTAACTGTTCTAACTTTACTTTTATATCTATTAACCAATTTTATCCATTAACCATTGAGATGATCATATGGTTTTGTTCTTCATTCTGTTGATGTGTTGTATCACATTTATTGATTTGCATATATTGAACCATCTTTGCATTCCTGGTATTGATCTTCTGAATATGCTGTTGCATTCAGTTTGCTAGTATTTTGTTGAGGTTTTTTGCATCTATGTTCATCAGGGATATTGGCCTGTGGTTTTCTTTTTTTGTTGTGTCCTGGTCTGGTTTTGGTATCAAGGTAATACTGGCCTTACAGAATGAGTTTGGGAGAATTCCCTCTTCTTCAATTTCCTGGATGAGTTTGAAAAGAATAATTTGTATTAGTCCTTCTTTAAAAATGTGGTAGAATTCAGCAATAAAGCTATCAGGACCTGGGCTGTTCTTTGATGGGAGACTTTTTATTACTGCTTCTATCTTGTTGCTTGTTATTGGTTTATTCAGGGTTTTGGATTTCTTCCTGGTTCAATCTTGGTAGGTTGTATGTGTCTAGGAATTTATCCATTTCTTTTAGGTTTTCCAATTTATTGGCATATAGTTGCTCATAGTAGTCTCTACTTATGCTTTGGATTTCTGCAGTATCAGTTGTAGCATCTCCTTTTTCATGTCTGATTTTATTTATTTGAGTCTTCTCTCTTTTTCTCTTAGTCTGGCTGAAGGTGTGTCAATTTTATCTTTTCAAAAAATCAGCATTTCATTGATCTTTATATTTCTTTTTCAATTTCATTTATTTCTGCTCTGATCTTTATTCTCATACTCATTTCGGGTTTGGTTTGCTCTTGTTTTTCTAGTCCTTTGAGATGCATCTTCAGGTTGTTTATTTGAAGCTTACCTAGTTGTTTTTTTTTTTTTATTTCAGCATATTATGGGGGTACAGATGTTTAGGTTACGTATGTTGCCCTTGCTGCGCCCCTCCCACCCCAGTCCAAGTTTCAAGCGTGTCCATCCCTCGGATGGT